TCAATTCAACTCAGGAGAAACAAGCTGTCCGTCCACTCTACCGACGCGGCCGATTGACGCCTATGAACGGACGCTTCATACCGTCAGATGTATATACGTGTCCCACATCTAACGGTTCATCCCACCTATAAATACCCAAGGTTTAACAAGAGGCAAAGGTAATGAAACTCTTACTACATAGCACTCCATAGCAAGTTTATATATTTTCTTCTCGCCCTTATTATTATTTTGCACAACCCCTGGATACTGTTCCGACCACCTAAACTTGACTTGACCGTCGGAGTGTATGCGGCCGCCACCACCCCATTGGTCCCGGCCGTGTGCGTCTGACCGTGCGTTGATTGTACGCAGTGAGGAATACGTAGAGTAGCTATCGGTTGGCCACGTGGAAGGTCCAATTTTCGAAGTCAACAGATTGGCGCCGTCTATGGGAAATCACTTCCCGTTCAAAGTTCTGCATTCTCCACCGGAGAAGTTACCGGAAAACTAGCGACTAACCCTGAAAAGGGGACGTTCTTGAAAAAGAATAAAGTCGAGTTACAATCCAAGTTCTCACCACCCTTGAAAAAGGAGATAGGATTAGCTATAGCCATGAAGATGACAACCCCATGAGAGAGGCCTCTGAAGAAGAGGTACTCCATAACAATGTTACTCATCAGAGACCACATCACCGACGTTGCCGAGGTGGAAGAACAGCTATACTCACTGAAGGAATGACTCAAATAGCTGCGGGTATGAGAGACATCGCAGCTCAGAATATGGCAATTCATGAACTCCTCATACAAGCCCAAGGTCATCAGGGATATCAAATGCCCCAAGGATCTTATCCGGTGCAGGAAGCCCCTGTATCTCACTCCCGAGGCCACATGAGCCGGTACACGGAACGCCCCCTCGAAAGAGAGATAAACGCCGAAGCCACATCTTATGTGCAAGGGAGCCAACCTTCAGAACCACACTTGGGGGACAATTTCCCTCAAGAATATAGGGAGCAAAGGTCGGCAAGCGTCTTCGACCGGATAGGGGAGGACCCTAGCAATAGGGTCCGTCCGATAAGAAGATCGGTTCGTCCAGATCAGGCTCTTCCTCCTCCTAGAAATAAGAGGGACAGAAGGAACCTAGTCGATTGGGGAAGTCGAGGAGAAGCACTTCCACCTACCCAGAACATTCAAGATGATGAAGGGTTAAATGGGCCCTGTCGATCTTATGAGATTGACGACGATGATGATAACCTCCCTTTCTCAAGGGAGATCCGAAGCTTCCCAATGCCATCAAATTTCATGCTCCCTAAGATCCCCAAGTATGAAGGAAAGGGGGACCCAGAGAAGCACCTCACCAAGTACATGACACAGATGAGCTTAAGGGGAGCCTCGCCCGCTTTGAAATGCAGAGCCTTCCATTTAACACTAGGCGGAGCCGCCGAAATGTGGTACAGCAGGCTTCCTCCCCTAAGCATTAAAAGTTGGCCGGATTTGAAGAAAATATTTTTGAACCAGTACCTCTCACGTAGGGAAGGAGAGGCACCAGTGCAACGCCTGCAGGATATGAGATAGGCCCCTGGGGAGACGCTGAAAAGCTATCTCACGAGATTTACAGACGAAATCACCTACTGCGAACAGGTTACTGACAAAGAAGCCCTTTCAGCCCTGAAAGGCGGGCTCAACATGGATACTTTGTTCTGGAGGAACGTGCGTAGCAAGAATCCCTCCACATATGACAAACTGGTGGAAATGATGAGAGTGGAAATTGTGAGTGAAGAAATGATTGATCATCGCAACCGTGCCTCGCAGGGACTCCTTCCACCTCAGAGGCAGGTAGGTCGAGGACCCGCGGCACACCTTGTTACTCAGCAATGGACCCAAGCAGGTCATACAATAGTTCCCACGTCCGGATAGGCCCTGGCTTCCGCCACATTGAATGCAGTACCGGTATTGGCATATGAGAATGCCCCTACTGAAGCGGGACCATTTGGAAGAGCTGATAACAAGAAGAAGAAGATGAAAAGGTCAAATAGACCCTTGAAAGGGGCTAGGTTTTGTACTTTCTATCAACTCTATGGGCACGACACTAGTGA